GGAAGAGATCAACCAAAGGACTTGTATGCATGCATATGGGCATAGCCCATGGACACAGACAGTAGGGGTGTGATGGCATGTGCTGGGGGGTGGGAACAGCCAGAGAGAGATCAATAGGGGAAAAAGGAGACACATGTAACACTTTAAACAATAAAGAATTTTTTAAAAAAGAAATTGGGGAAGAAGAATACACATTGTCCGCCCCCCCCACACCCCACCCCAGCACTGAAGCCATACAGGATACTTCTTTATGGACCCTATTGGGCAGAATTTGTTCACAACACTGCACCTAGTCTCAAAATAAGACATAAAAAATGTCGTCTTTCGTCTGGGTGGCCCTGCACCAAGATTAAAATAGGGGTCTTGCTACTGGGAAAGAAGGTGGGACAATCCCTGGAGTGTAACTAGCTCTCCTTCCCACAGCGTGAGACCTGAGCCGAGGGTTCCGAAGGCGGCCTGGCTCCCCCAGGCCCCTCCGGGTAGCAGCCTGGCCGTGGGGAGTGGCGCTCTGCCTCTCCCTCTGGGCCCTGCCTCCAGCTTCGGGGCTGGAAGTCGCCCTTGGAGCTGTGGCGGTAGCAGGAATATGATCGCCCCCGGGTCTCCATCAGGGAGAGGATGAGTTTGATGATCAAGGCCAGCCACGCCATCCCAAAGAGGATCCACAGGGACACTGTGTTCTTGTACCACAGTGGGTACTGCCGGGAGGGGTCCATCCCTAGGGGAGAGGCAAGGTCAGAGGCTGGAGTCCTGGGAAAGTCAGGGCCAAGTTCCCCACACAGAAATGGGCAGACATGGCTTGACACGGAGGAGCACAATATGGGAAGTCCAGACTGGTCCGAGACCGCTGGCCTGGCGGTCACCTCTGAGAGCATCCAGGAAGCCCCCCTGGATTGGCACCAGGGGTTTGGTAACGACAGTTCCTCTTTGTCTAAGGCACTCTGTGCTCTATTCCAGTGGTTCTCAGAGCAGCATCAGCACCACCTGAGAGCTTGTGAGGAATGCAAATGATTGGGCCCCACTCCAGACCTACTGAACTGGGAACGTCTGGGGTGGGCCCCGCATCTGCGTTTTCACAAAGCCCTCCAAGAGATCCTGAGGCCTGATCTGCCATTCGCGTGTCTCTGTGTGGTTTTCTCATATCTGAAGGGAGGCAGATTGCCAGGGCCTTTAGGAAGAACAGATGGAACCGCTGGAGTTTGTTTCCTGCCTCCGTTCTTCCAGGCTGTGTGACCTTCATCTGTCTGACTGTCCCTCACCTGGGACATGGGGAAAATAATTTCTCCCTCTGGGCTTTCAGATGAAGTCCTGTTATCTCAAGGCCACTATTTACTTCTCCAGCTTCGATTTGCACACTTATCCCCTTTGAGAATTGTGCTCCAGTCACTCTGGTCTTCTTCCCAAGTCTTCATCTATCATTTTTCCTGCCCCAGGACCTTTGCACTTACTGCCCCCTAGGCTCAGAGTGTTCTTCATTTCAAATTCTTCTTGGCCCTAGCTGGTTTGGCTCAGTGGATAGAGCGCCGGCCTGCAGACTGAAGGGTCCCGGATTAGATTCCTATCAAGGGCACATGCCCCGGTTGTGGGCTTGATCCCCAGTGGGGGGCATATAGGAGGCAGCCGATAAATGATTCTCTCTCATCATTGATTTTT